CTGCCATGGACCCTCCCTTGGATGGTGAAAAAAAATCCAAATAGCACCTATTTAAGGAAAAGAGAAGTATAGGAAAAATTCATCCTCATAGACGAATTTTGTAATGTAATATATATAAAAAAAAAAATTATTATCGTGACCAGCACTAGCGAAATCTGCCATGGACCCTCCCTTGGATGGTGAAAAAAAAAAACACCTTTTTAATGAAAAAAGAAATATAAGGAAAATTCAACCTCATACAAGAATATCTTAATAAAAAAAAATTATTATCGTGACCAGCACTAGTGATTTCTTCTAGGGGGCGTCCCCCTCTAAGAACAAGAAAATACGGGTTTTCTTCCGGACCCAGTTTTTACTCAGTTTCAATAGATCTGAACGCATTGTAACCTTCTGTAACTACAATCTTCTTGAAGAATCAATGTGAATCATAAAACTGGTCACGATAATAATTTGTATATTTCTCATTAGAATCTGTTGTTATTTTATTAAAATAGCTGCTGTTTTCATGAAGGCATGTATTAATTATTTGGTATCTGATTTTATCAGAATCTGATTATGATCGGAATCAGAAATTATTCTGAGTTTTTTTCTCTCAAAGAACTCATTTCCAAGCTCCAGGGCCATTTACAGTAATCTTTCTCAGATTTTGACAATATCGGTAAAAATTAGCGTACATTGACCGTGGTTATCGACGATATCACTTAATCAAATGATTAAGTTTAGGTACGCGTTCAACACACGATTTGACGTTTTTTAATTTCTTAAAGAATACGTTTTTTGTTTCGATGCTCTGTTTAGTAGTAATACATGAAAACAAAAAGATCAGATAAATCTGGAATTTTCGGCTGTAAAAAGTTTTCGGTGACCTGTGTTAGTAATTTAGTTTTTTACATTTTTAAACCCATATACAGGGTGTCTCGTAAGTAGAGGGAAATATTTAAAGGAGTGATAGCAAAACTCAATAAATACGAAAAAGTTTATATAAACAATGGTTCGATTTTTAGCAGGAAAGTAGGGAATTAAAGTTTTGTGATTTTTTATGTGTCACGTGTTTTTGTTGAATAGGAAGTAATAACAAAAAACTATTTAATTTAAGTAATTAATGATAGCTTCACTGTAAACTAATCAAAATTTACTCTAAATAAAAATAGTTTGCTTTTGTTAAAACGATTTAAAGAGGACTTTTGAGCGGCTAAATTCAGCTAGAAAGTGGGGGAGAATGGGTAGTGGTGGGCGAACGGATAGGGGTGGGAGAAGAACGTGGTACAGAGGTGCGCCTCCCCCTGAGAAAATTTCTGGATCGGCCACTGGCAGAGGATATATGGTCCACAACGCGAACTCCTTGTTGGACAGTGGAATGTCTTGAGCGGAATCCAAACTGATGGGAAGGGATATTACGGGATTCGAGTGTAGGTAGGATTTTCTCACAGATTTTAGAAAGGAGTGGGAGTAAGTTTATCGATGTATAGGATGATGTATTATTAACAGGTTTTACCTGGTTTAGGAAAGAGGACAATTATGGAGTGTTTCCACACCGGAAGAAAGTGGGTTATGCGGAGGATATAGTTGAATAGATATGTAAGGAATATAATTGCTTTTTTGGGAAGTTGTTTGAGGATCTGGCAAGTAAGGAGATCGTCCATCGGAAGTCCAGGGAATTTCCGAGGTTTTAAGTTCTTTATAAGGAATTTGACCTCAGAGGGATTGACGGCTGTAGGAGGTAAGGAGAGAGGAATTCTTTAACTTCAGCAGTATGGGTGGAATGGAGTTCGGGATGAGGAGTGAATGTGTACAATATGTGTTTAGCGAACTCTTCTACTCTATTCTCGTCTGACGAAGCCCAGGAACCATCATCACGGCGGAGGGGGTGGAAAATGGATTGAAATTTATTGATTTTTTTAGTTGCATTCCAGAGGGAGTTATCACTAGCAGATAGTGAGAAAAGATAGGAATTATAGGATTGGGATCTAAACGTAGCCAGTTTTTGTTTTACCTGCTTAAAATAATAGTTATACGATTTCCAATCATCAGGATGACTGGTTCTTGGCAGATGGTCCTAGAGCATCGTTTTCTATTAATAAGGTCCAGTAGGTCTTGGGTTATAATATTTATTTTGCGGTATTTTTTAGAAGGACCAGGTGAAGATGCAGTCCATACTGCTTGCTGGATCAAGATAGTCATGGAATGTACTGCTTCATCCAGGTCAGCAGATGTTTTTAAGGAAACTCTGAGGTCAATATTATCATCCAGTATTTGACGGAAGAGGTTCCAGTTGACTGGTCCCCTGATAAATGAAGGTGGAGGTGATTTGGTAATTGGTGATGTGAAGACCGTTAGGATTAGGAGTCTATGGCCTGAGGAAAGATCACCAAGTCTTGAAATGTAATATATATATATGTGTAATATATTAAGGGATCCTAGACCTTTGTGGATGTAAAAAATCTAGGAGATCGGGATTGCGTTTGGATCTGTTGGCCAGTATGTTGGAGAATTGGGTGAGAGGATGTTGCTGTGATGAGAATTAAGTGCAGACAGTAATGTTCGCCCTCGGGGATTCGTGGTTCTGGCTCCCCATTGCTAGTGTTTAGCATTCAAGTCTGCACCTAGAAGGAAGTGGTGTCCTAAGGAGTTAAGAAAGGAAGTTAATTGGGATTCGGATATAGGTATTTTAGGTTATTAGGTAAATGGAAGTTTGGATTATCACGGGGTTGGTAAAGAGAATAGATGATGGGAAAGGGATTGATGGAAAATTATGGCAGTATCAGTTGTTCTATCAGGATGGTCGGTTCGATAGATATGATAGTTGGGGATGTTAAATGGTCGTTTGTTGGTAAGGCGAGTTTCAGTTATTAACGCTATGTTAATTTTTTTGTACCGTAATAAGATTGTTAGTTCGTTGATGTGATTTTGAATACCATTCGCATTCAAAGGGAGAATGGAGAGGGATTTGATTTGGGACATTTATGGATTTCTTGGCAGTGGGATGTGGTTGGATACAATATTGGTAAGTAAGGAAATGAGAGGAGTGATGAGTGATCTGAATTCAGAGAGGAGAATATGCTTGTGAGTGGCATTGGAAGGAGGAGGAATGAATATCTGGCTATTAGGCTTATATTCAGAGATGGAATAAGGGTCTTGAGGTTGAGATGTGAATTCTCGAGGTTGAGGTTCTTGTTGCAGGGCCTGAGTTTGTATGGATGCAGTGTCTCCTTTGAACATCTGAGCACTATTGTATTCACAGTTCTAGAGGACTGTCTTGGTGGCCTGGATGTCCGTTCTATTCTTGGAGCTGCATAAATTCTTACAGATGAATAAATCAAGGATTTGAGGATTACGGTTAGGATCTGTGGGCCAGCAGGTAGGAGAGTTGAGAGAAATGAGGTGAAAACGTTGGGGATTGAGTGAAGACAGCAATGCTCGGCCACGAGTTCGTTGAACCCCATTGTTGGTGATTGGCATTTAAGTCTGCACCGAAGATTAAGTGATGTTCTAAGGAGTCGAAGAGAGAACTAAACTGGGCATTGACTATGGATCGATTAGGAGGGCAGTACGCTGATACAATAGTGACCGGAAAGAGAAGGTTTTAATTACGATAGCGGTGGATTGTAGGAAATCTTGGGTAGGTAATGGAAGTAGGTGATGGGGGGGGGATTGATATACGTGACAGCAGTGCCGGCTTGTGCTCTACCGTCAGGAGGGTCAGTACAATATGTTAAATATTGTGGTATTTTGAAGAGCTGTTTAGTGGTTAGTCGAGTTTAAGTAATTAGTGCTATGTCAATGTTCTTGTCAAGTAATAAAGCAGATATTTAGTCTGTTTGAATTTTAACACCATTAGTATTTCCAAAGGAGAATAGATATAGGTTTATTGGAAATCATTTAAGCATTTTCTGAGGCGGAGATAAAATGTGATACAAGATTGGTGAGAAGGGATATCAAAGGAGTAACAAGAGATCTGTATTCTGAGAGTTAATATGTAAGTAAGCTGGTGAAATCTATTTGATGGAATCTATATGGTATTTGATGGAGGAGGAATATGAGGAATTTGGTCTTGATATAATTATTGAGGATTGGGCGAAATTTGAGTAGTAGGATATTGAGGATGGGGTTGAGAATTTTCAGGTGTATATTGTTGTTGCGGCATGGTCTAACAATTAGTTATTTCGTTCTTACCTCCTAGTAAATATGCAAAAGACAATGTTGGGGTCTACTATTTTGGAAGGTTCTCTTCTTGATCTTTCTGCTTCTTCTTGGGTTCGGGATTTCTGATATCTTGACTTGATATCCTTGTAGGATATGTTGTGTAGATTTTTTATAACTACTCTTAAAGCTCGCTCTTTTCGTAATTGATACGTATGGAATTCCGCTTTGATTTCTGTCAGATTTCACAATTTTTCTGTAGGTTTCAGCTGTATCTGGTGATGTCTTAGTATCCTTTGTTCTAGATAGACATGAGTGGCTTCCAGGGTCTGTTATTATGTTTAGTTGAGACCATAGTAACAGAAAATGTTTTTTACGAATATCGGTGGATGTCTCTTGCGATGATGTACCTTGGTGGGTTTCATGTTCACCGGAGCTAACAGGGGTCACTACACTAGTGGTGTTTGATGAGATTGACGAGGCTTTTGTTTGTCATGCGAAGAACGAGGTGTCGATCCTAACGACCTAGCTCTCTTCATAAACGCTTTACAAGACATGACCTGATGGTCATATCCCAAACAAGAAAATAAAAAAAAATTATAAGTGCACCCAGTAAATATCAATTGTTCTTATGTACCCTTGGCCTGTTTTAAATGAATAATCTCAGAGATTCCACTGAAATACAAGAAAATTCTGAGACCCGAAGAGGAAACACAATATTTCGCATCAGCTGATCAATCAGCAGTCGGTATTAAAAAACGTCATTAAATATATCTTTTAGTTGGTTAATTGTTTTTACAGCAATAGAAATGATTTTAAAAAATCATATGTTCTAAAAGTAATTTAAAAAAAATAGGAAATATATTTTAAAAATAATATTTTATTAAAAACTTGTTTTTCTATTTAAAACTGGTAATTTTGTTCTTGCGTACTCTCCTCTAAATATCTAATCGTGGAACATGTTGTTGAAACTCGATAGACTATCATCATCGCTAAGGTTATCATAAGGTGCATCGATCGGGTTTGTTCCTAACTGTGCGCTCATTTCCAAGAACGAAATTGACTCCGTAGAATCTACGGCAGAGACTTCAGTGTATATTTCTTCGGTATTCAGAGTCTCCGATGCGTTGGCGAGTACGAATGGGAGCATAAACCATATAATGGAAAGTTCCAAATTAAGTACATCTGGGGTTACATCTGGGGTAGGAGAAAAAGTCGGCGGCGATCGGGGACAATTGTCGAATTTCGTCTCTCCATTAAAGTCCTGGTATACTGAAGTAGTACTCAGATTTTGCAGTGTCTTCCCTATGTGTATTCTCTCAAATATAGCGTCATCTGAACTATTTCTAGAACATGGAACACTTTGGAATGATTCACGTGATTCTGAGATTAATGTTTCAGAGACGTCAATGCTAATATATGAGGGATCAGGGTCGATATCATAACATTCTAAAGAACCATCGGACGACGAATAACTTAGGTTGAAAGATAGTGTATCTGAGCTCGATGTATTAGTAGCACTTGATTGACCCGATTTCAAAGTCCATACACCTGTAATCGGTGAGGGATTTATTGGCTTATTTGCATCTGGTTGGGGAAACTCACCACTATATTCTTTGCCCTGACCCATACGTTGTAAGGTAAATGGGTGTTCTTCAGTACCATGGTATGGTATAATAGTCTTTGAGTATTTTTTTTTTTTCATAAATTCTGCACTTGATGGAATCGTTTTTTTCTCAGATACATTCTTTAATTTCAGTCCTGTTTGGAATACTCCCTGAAAAAAAAATACTGGATTAAAATCATTATATATTTTACATTCACCTACGGGAGATAAGAATTACCAGTATAAGCATCACCAAGCATTATTGATATAGGTATTACTAATTTACAAATTTTTTTTTTTTGTTTATTTAATGAAATTTACAACAAGTAAATATGCGCAAATATAAATAATGGCATGTACAGGCTTGAAGAGTTACTACCCAGTGGTAGCACTCTCTAAATAATTTTAAGTAAGAAGATCACGAAGCCATCTCCTTTTCAGACGCCTAGGAGGATTATCAGGAATCGAGAAAGAAGCAAGAGTGGAAACAAGCGGATTTGGATGGGACTGAAGTTTATCATGAAAGGATAGATATCTGGCTCTAGCTAAATCAGCGACATATGGACATTTATGAATGGTTTTATTTGTGACAAAGTATGGAGCATTAAGGATTTTACGGAGGATTTTGGATTGTAAGGATTGGATACTATAGGAATTCGATGGTTTGGTGGAGCCCCAAAGCTCAACTCCGTATGTCCATATAGGTCCTATTATAGTTATGTAGATAAGTCTTTTGTAATTAATAGAAAGTTTGGAGCGTTTGTCTAGTAAGTGTTGGAGCAGTCGGGAACGTCGAGCAGTTTCTTGTCGTTTCAGTCTAGTATGACGATTCCAAGTAAGACGTTTATCCAAATGGAGTCCTAAGTAGCGGATTTGCTCAACAGGAATAAGTGGAGTATTATTGAAAGTTACTGTATGACAAGACGTCATAGGTTTACGACGGAGGGTAAAGGTGATTTGATGGGATTCGTTGGAATTTATTTTTATTCTCCAACTTTTACACCATTCTTCAAGGCTTGTGATATGTGATTGAAGAGTTTGGGATATAATTAAAGGATCGTTATTAACAGATAGCAAACATGTGTCATCGGCGTAAGTGGTGATGACAGTGTCAGGATGGGTTGGGATGTCAGCTTTATAAACTGTGTAAAGGATGGGACCGAGGATATTACCTTGTGGAACGCTTGCAGATTGAGCAAAGAGGGATGAGAAGACATTATTTTGGTTTACTTTGAAATATCTATCAGTAAGATAGGAGCGGATAATGAGGAAGTATGTAGGGGGTTGGACTTTTCGGAGTTTGTACAGAAGACCCGGGTACCAGACTCGATCAAACGCCTGTTCAACGTCGAGAAAGACTCCCGTGCAGTACATACCGCGCTCCAATGCAGAGGAGACTACATCAACCACACGGTGACATTGTTGGATAGTGGAATGCGATGTGTGGAATCCAAATTGGTGATCAGGTATAATATGATTAGAGTCTAGGATGGGATACAGGCGTTTTAGGATGAATTTTTCCAGGATTTTGCCCATGATAGGTAACAGAGAAATAGGACGGTAAGAGTATGGGTGTTCGGGTGGTTTTTTAGGTTTGTGTATCATTTTGACAATAGATATTTTCCAAGAATCAGGGAAATATGTGGATCGGAGCACAGCATTGTATATGTAAGTGAGGAATAGGATGGCTTTCCGAGGAAGAAGTTTTAGGATCTGGGAAGTGATAAGGTCGTGTCCAGGAGCTTTTCGGGAAGGTAATCTGTTGATGATATTAGATATTTCCGAAGGATGAAATGCTTTAGGTGGAAGAGTCATTTGGAGTGGAATATCCAGTTCTGCTTCAATACATTCAATTTGATGTGGATTAAGGATATCAGGATGTGGATTAAAGGTTTGGAAGAGGTATTGACCGAATAGTTGAGATTTTTCTTCATCAGATTTGGACCAGGTTCGGGATTCAGTTAATAGTGGATGGTTAAAGTTTTTAAACTTTAGTATCTTTTTTGTGGTCGTCCATAGAGATTTGTCAGTAGTTGTAAGATTATCAGTTAGGTTAAGTAATTTTTGTGTTTTGAATTTTCTAATTTCTATTTTTAGTTTGTTAGTCAATTCGTTATAGTAAGTTTTATCTGAAGGATATCTAGTCCTATGCCATTTCAATCTTGCTCTGCGTTTTTCTCTTAATAAGATTCGAATATTTAATGGCAAGTTACTATATCGTGAGTTATTGCTTTTATTGATGGAAGTGTTATCATTTATACTAATAGCTATTGATGTAGTGAGTTTTTCTATGAATTTGTCAATGTCTTGTTTTGTCTTAAGCGGAATTTTTAAGTCCAGTTTATTTTCCAAATCGTGACGAAACTTGTCCCAGTCTACTCGTCCTGTAATCAATTTCGGATGTGAGGGTTTAGGAACGAGATTTGAATGTAATAATAGCAGAACTGGACTATGATCTGATGAAAGGTCATCCAGGGATTTTATTGTAGTCAGGGAAGAGGAAATCTGAGAAGTGATAAATATATCTAGGATATCAGGACGTTTTTTAAGGGATGTTGGCCAATATGTTGGATTCATGGGCGAGAGGATAGAATAACTATTAGAAGATGAGACATGAGATAGGATATTACCACGGGAATTGGATGTTCGACAACCCCATCGTTGGTGTTTAGCATTGTAGTCTCCTCCAGCAATAAAGCGTGATCCGAGTGATTGGAATAAGGAATCAAGAAGGTCATGAGAAAGGGAATTTCCAGGAGGACGGTATACAGCTGATAATGTAAGATGGAAAGGGCGAGTTGATAGGATTACCGAGGTTGATTGAATGGCGTCAGTTGGGGTGGAAGGGATTAGGGAATGAGATAAGGATTTATGGATAAGGATGCAAGAGCCTGCGTGGGAAGTGTTAGCTGGATGGTCTGATCTGTAAGTGATGTAGTCAGTTATGTAAAAGTTTGATCGTTGTGTGAAATGAGTTTCCGTCAGGAGGGCAATGTCAATGTAATTGTCATGAAGAAATATGTCTAGTTCGTCACGGTGGTTTTGTAGTCCATTAGAGTTCCATAAGAGATTAGCTAGGGGCTTTTTGTTCATCGAGGAAAATTGAATGGGATTTCGGAAAGGAATCTGGTTAGAAGGGTTATGAGTGGTTTGATAGTCTGTTGAAGGTCTATCAGGAATGCTGATAGGATAGAATTGATGTCGGATGATGTTTGGCTTTGAAGGATCTGTGGATTCGGATCAGGAGGAGGTTGTGGTTGGTAATTTGTGCGATTAGGGTTATTGGTAGGGGGTTGGGTCCGTTGTTGGGTACGAGGAGTTGGTTGAAATTTCTGAGGTACATATGATGGTGGGTTCATCTGGAGATTTGGATGGGATTGTGCTGGATGCGGATGCTCCGGCGGAAGTTTGACCGTTAGGGGAAGATAATGAGGTGGGATTTGTTGACGTGGAGGTTGATGCTGAGGATTAGTGATTTTAGGTTTGGATTTGAAGGTCTGAGGCGCCTGACGTCGAGGTTGCTGCTTGATGATAGTGGTTTGTGGGTGTTGCTTGGTGGATTCTTGTTGAGGAAGGTCCGTTGATACAGTGGTCGATGGCCGTTGTTGGACGATTTGCGGTGTTGAAGGCAGTACTGGGAAAACATCCAGATTTTCAATTTCAGGCGGTTCTGTGTTACTTTTCTGAACAAGGTTCTGGCTTCTTACTGCTATATTATGGGATCTTTGCTTGTGGAGACTTTTATAAACCTCACAACCTCTATAGCTCGCAGGGTGGGCTTCACCACAAAGAGCACATATCGCAGGTTCGTGCCTTGGTTTCTGACAAGTGTCTGATGCGTGTGAACCTGCACATTTCACACATCTGGCCTCGTGAAAGCAGTAGGCTTTGGTATGTCCCAGATTTTGACAGTTTGTGCACTGCACTACTATGGGCTTCTGTTTAGGTCCCTCAAAACGGACTGTTGAGTATACTAATCTCGTTACCTGAAATATTTCGGAATTGTTTTTTGCTGGTTCCAGATCCACGAAAAATAGTGGTAACGGATATTTTTCCCTAGGATGTAATACGGGTGAAATATTTCTGACACTGTGGCCTATTTCTTCCAATCGGATTTTAATAGCGTTTGTGGTGGTACTTGAATGCAGACCTCTCAAGATTACTCTATACGCTTTTTCCTGTCTGAGTTGATAGCAGTGGAATTGGAATTTTCTTGATGTAAAATGCTCGATGAGTTTTTTATAGTTTTCTTTAGAGTTAGTGTTAATTTTTATATCATTAACTCTTGAATAACATCGAAAATTAGGCTGTCCTATCAAGTCAGTAATTTCTTGCCCGAAGGACATAAAATTTTGAATTTTTGATACAAAAATAGGTGGTGGTTCTGGATCCGAAAATGTTTTTGGCTCCTGAGTTTTATTTGATGAAATATTGGCAGTAACAGAATTACTGATTGAGGTGGATGGTGGAACTGTTTCTAATTTGTTGGCTGCAGTGGTTTTACTGCGGGTGTTTTGTGTAGATTTGCTATTTTCAGATATTTTTTTTTGATTTGGTAGCTTTATTTTTTTTCTTAGTAGGTGAGTTACCCGCCGATCCAGGGGCAGAATTTCTATTGCGCTTTTGGAGTGTTCTTCTTTTTAAATATTGCGAATCTGTCTCGCTTATTTCGGAAAATGGTGTCTCTTCCTCCGATTCATCACCCGACGTATTAACAAGATCCATGATAACAAAATAATTAAAAGTCTATAAAAGTTATAATGGAATTAAAATGGAAATAAAAGAAATTAATTCTTAAAACTAAGTTATTTACAAAAATATTTACAGGTAAAATAAAACATTTCTCAACGTACATAAATAAATAAAACTAAAAGTCTCAAATAAAAATAATTGAAAAAAAAGAAAAAAAAAAAAAAAGTTCTTAGATACGAACTCGATATCACTCGAAGGAAGGAATGTTGGTACCAGGCGTTGACTGTGAATCTATCTTGATATGATAAGAGCCGTAAAGGGAATTATCGGTCAGCTGAGCTGTTTCTACCGAACGTATATCAATTAAATAGTCAACATAATTTTAATAAATGTCTCTCCCCTCAATATTTTAATGTGGAAATGTTCAAATGTACAAAAGCACACTATTCACACTGTATAGCAGCAGAAATTGAAGCATTAACCTGATGAAAAGGAAACAACGACAGAGCGATGCAAGCATACGACTGTAATTGCGGCCATGACACTAATTTACAAATTTAAAGTTAAAATTATTCTGCCATTTGGCTAAATATTAATACTAAATATTTTTTTTTTTGCTAATCTTCTTTATCAAGATGTATTATAATCTGTCACATTTAAGGACAATAGTAATAGTGATAAAGAGTAGCTCTTTAATAATGTGTTAAATTAAAGTAAATTTTTTCGATCCCTGGAGTCAGTGCCATGTCTATAAAAAATAGGGATAGAGGAACATTTACTCCTGGCTGTTCCTTACTCTCCTTTAGAACATTTGTTATCTGGCACTCTTTGAAACCTAAAGTTTTCAGTTCTTCTTCTATTGTTTCAGTTGGTGTTGAGGGGTATATGTTTATTATAAAAACTCTTAAAGCTCGCTCCTGCCGCAATTGATACGTTAGAAAATCAGCTTTGGTCTCTGTTACATACTTCACAATTTTTCTATAGCTATCAGCTGTATCTGGCAATATGTTGGTGTCATTCGATCTGCTCAGACATGAGTAGCTTCCGGAACCTGCTATTTTGTTTAGTTCAGAACATACATACATACATATTCGGTGCAACAACCAGTTAAAAGTCTCCTACAGTTGGCTCTCTCTGTTGCTGCAGCTCTCCAGTTCCTTGCGCTGAAGAGAATCTGTGCGTCATCTGTGACGGAGTCAGCCTACCTCACATTTGGCCTACCCACTCTTCGCCAGCCATGAAGCTCTTCATCCAATGTCCTCTTTGGGATCTCATCCTCCTTCATCCTTGTCGCGTGGCCGGTCCATCGGAGTCTTCCAATCTTGATCCACTTGATGATATCAAGTTTTCTGTACAGTCTTGAAAGTTCCTGGTTCTTACTCCTTTTCCAGGTATCTCCCTCCTGAACCGGCCAAAAATACTTCTCAATATCTTTCGTTCAAACACCAGAAGGAGGTTCTCACTCTAGTGAAGGCCCAGGCCTCTGACCCATACGTAAGAACCGGACAAATTGGGGTCTTATATAGACCGATCTTGGTCTTGTTGGAGAGGTGACTGCTCTTGAAGTATTTCGCTAGCCCAAAATAGCTTCGATTGGCTGCGGAAATTCTTCGATTGATCTCCTAACATAGCCTCCTCACCAGACAAATCAACTTCCTGGGAATGCCCATTTCTTCTAGCGCCTGGTAAAGCTCGGATCGGGTTACAATATCGTACGCTAACTTAATCCAGAAAGAGGTGGTGCGTAACTATTCTGTATTCTTTGGCTTTTTCCAGAATCATTCTCAGGGAGAAGATTTGGCCCGTGGTTGATCTGTCCCTTCTAAATTCAGCCTGGCAATTGCCTATCTCCCTTTCAGCATGGGTGTGAGTCTCTTGGTTTAATGTTTGACAACACCTTGTAGGCACTCGAAAAGAGGACTATACCCTTGTAGCTCTCACACTCAGTTTGGCCGCCCTTCTAGTGAAGCGGACAAATAACTCCTTATCTCCAAACTTGAGGCACCCTTTCTTCTTCCCATATTGTAAGGATGAGGTTGTGGAGTTCCTTCATAAGTCCCTCGCCACCGTAGCGAACATCTCCGCCTGTATGCCCCTAGCCTTTGTTATTCTTCAGCTTCATAACGGCAGCCTCGACTTCATCCTCGTCTAGTGGTTCTGCATCGTTTGGGAGGACTTCCGTTCTTGAAATGGTGCTGACTTCCTCTTCTGCATCGTCTTGATGAAGGACTTTTCCAAAGTCTCTCCTCCATCTCTGCAGGATTTCTCCCTTTTTCGCCAGGAGATTTTCATCTGTATCCTTGCAGGAGGTGACCCTCTCCTGTACAACTGTACACAGAAATATCAACTTTCTGGTGTATCCTTGACTTGTTTTAAATGGATAATAAGATATATTCTTCTGAAAAAGCAGTAAATAATGAGAGCTTGAGTTTGAAACAACCTTGCACATTAGCTGATCGATCAGCTGTCAGTACTAAATATTAAAAAATAATAATTTCCACATAGGGAAAAGAAGACATATAAGGTTACTAAATATACTAGGCAGCTTACCAGTTCTGAGGAACCCTTTATTGACACCTGTTCAATGAACTGTCTTTTGGTGATTCCCTTCTCTAATGAGGAGGCGAATCCAGTAATTAAGCGGCCCGCATTTCGGCCAAGAAAATGTATGCCTATCACACGTTCCAGCTAAAAACATAAGTATGTATAAATATTTTAAGCATTATCAATTAAAAAAAAAATGAAAGATTTATCTCAATGTACCGTAGATGTTTAATATTGATGTAATCTACATTAGTATAGTGTATGATTAGCTATATGTACTATATATACCAGGTTACCATATATTCTATCTTTTGCGGCAACACAGATCAAGAAAGTCAGTTGGTCGGTACACTTTGTTCTATAGGGCCGCTCTATGTTACAAAGCTTCTATCTCAATACATCTCTGACTATATGATCACATGTTTCTTGTTTACTTCCGTTTTACCTTTGTCAATAGGTATTGAGCCCAGGGTCATGTCAAGGAAGAAATTTTCGGTTGAGAGAAGTTTTTGAATTTTGGAAATATTGCAAGTCATTGCACTCGGGTGCCATGTGCTCTTGTACCACATCGTCAGGATTTTGCTGTGTTTTGTCGATTATAGTGATTTTGTTTGCTATTGTTTCGGGTCTGATAGATAATATAAAGGGAATGAATAATATTCCTTGCGGGATCAAGCTGTTTGATGGATGTAACGAAACTTATGGTAATTGGTACTTTTGTATTAAATTTCTTTTAGAGAAAGCAAATGTTTTCAAAGTATTAACTGATGCTCCTCCTGAAAATGAAGCAACCTTGAAAGTGTTTAAACAATCGGATGTAAATGTAAGAACCATTATAGTGAGAGGATTGGCCGATAACATTATTCCTTTAATAAGAAAAATCAGGTATGAAAACAACATCCAGCGACCAGAAGGCTTGGAGGAAGTTGGAATTTAAATTCCAAATGACACTTCATGAATTCCTTTAGAAATTAGAAACCATGTCTAATGATCTTAAGATTGAAGAGGAAGATATGGTGTATCAACTTTTGTGATCAGTGCCATTCAAATTTGACCCTGTGGTTTCTGTTCTCGATATTTTGTTTACAAAGGACAAAAGTTAGGTTAATTTTGGTTATGTTAACAATGTTGTTAACTGAAGCGTAGAGACTTATAAATAAAGAACAAGTGCAGAATCAATCTTTTGCATAGAAAAATAATTATTTTTCTGCAAAAGACTCAAAAAGTCTTTCATTAAAAGTCAATCAGATCAAGTGAATTGTAATCTTAAAGAAAAGTGCTACTATTGTAAATGTGTAGGCCATATTAAAAATCAATGCCCAAACCTAAGCTAAAAGTAAAGGAATTTGAAAACTGTTAAACTGAAAAAGGACATTTTACGTTTTTTACAAAAAAAAAATATTGCTCACTTTCACAAGTGATTTAATACATTATAATTATGAAAGAAATAAACACATTACCTTTTCTCTGTGAAAGCAGTACCAATGGTCAGAGCATATAATTTTTATTTGGAACGCTTGTTCTATGACATTTGTTTCTGAATAAGGAATTAGATGATTATCAGATTCATAGACGGTAATTTCAGATTTATATTTCAATCTGGCCGACTTTTCGGTTTCTCCTACAAAACCGTATTCTAGAGGAGTTAATAGAGCTACTGGGAAAATCTTAGGAATTGGTATTTCGTCTAATCCCTTTAATATCAACTAAAAAATGATTTAAAAAATGAAATATATACATAAATCAATCAAAATAAAAAAAAAATGAAAATATTAAAATGAATAAATGCATGAATAATTAAATAGAAAAAAGGTTAATACGAAATATATTTTCAAATGAATATTATTAGTTTAGATTTTGGAACATATGGACCAAAATGTAATGCAGATGTAAAATCATTTTCGAATTTTATTATAATGATCAGTATGATTTTAAAACAAATATCTATAAAAAAGTGTGGATAAAAACTTAATAATGATTTTTCAAAGAAATATTTAAAATGGAATAACTAATGAGCTAAAATTGGCATAGTATTATAACATACCTACAATTCTTAATATTGTATATTAATTTATATTAAGTCAAATGAACAAGCTAATGCTCTCATTTACATCAATGATACATCTGGTGAATTTAATTGCAATTCAGTGAGCCAGAGACAGCCATGGACGGACTCTTGGATTGCATAAGATGTGAATCTTAGCTCAAGTGAAGTTCCAAAAAGAAGTGTTCGAAATACTGTACAATGTGCCTCCGATGGCCAACTTCCGAGTTATTTATGTTTTATCTTCAAAGGGTGAGATATTGATACACTTCAATATAATATACATATGCACACACACACACACACACACACACACACACACACACACACACACATATAGATATATATATTGTGAAATAATTATTATTCTCGGAACTTAGGTTATTTAATTTACAATATTAATAAACTACATAAATTTGGAGTTTTTATTTTTATTTGTTAACGTTTCGATCCCTTCTTTTCTCATACACAGAATGGGGACCTCTTCAGACCTGGAAAAAGAAAAATAAGAAAAGCAGGGATCGAAAAGTTAACAAATAAAAATAATAAACTCCAAATTTATATAGTTTATTAATATTGTAAATAAAATAACCTAACTGCCGTAAATAATAATTATTTCACAATATAAAGGAAAAAAATTAATTTTCTAATATATATATACACTGACAGGCAAAAAATTCCACCCACTTGATTTTTCCGTGTTTTCATCTAAAAATATTTCTGCCACTTGTAAAAAAAGTTGTATTTGTATATAATACATGGTATTTGTAGATAATACTTAGTATTTATGGAATTTTATAATCCTTTTTACCTTTAATAATCAAAATGTGATTGGGTAAGAAAGATTAGAGAAAAAAAAATTGAAAAACGAACCATTATTATTCTAAAAGAAATTAATTACATCATCGTTTAGTAGCACGTGTTTCCTTCTCTTGCCTTCACTACTTCTTGAAGACGCCTCGGCATACTTTCCACCAATCGGGAAATGTCACTTTGCTGGAGGATAGCCCATTCTTCACGAAGAGCCCTTTCAAGGTCCTGCAGTGTATCACGCGTGTTGCACGTGTGTTGGAAGTGTTGCACGCGCTCTTATTCGTCTTCCGAGGTTATCCTATAAATGCTCAATGGGGTTCAAATCTGGAGAACGTGCTGGCCAGGCTAAAACCTCAATATTGTTCTGTTGAAGGAACGTCTGCACTATGCGGGCGATATGTGGGCGTGCATTATCGTACATTAGAATAGAACAATCGCCTATTTCGTTGAGGATAGGCAATACATGAGGTTCCAAAATCTCATCTACATAGTGAATGGCCGTCAAAGACCCTCCACGAACAACAACCAATTCTGTGCGACGCTCCATTGAAATCCCAGCCCACACCATTAAGGAACCACGTTGGAAAGGTTGGCACTGGGGAAAATTTCAGGCTGCATATCTTTCGTTTCTTCTTCTCCACACCCTTTCACGCTCGTCTGGAGATTGAAGAGCGAATCTTGACTCATCTGTAATAATTACAGGACTCCATTCGTCCATAGTCCAATGGCTGTGTTCTCGAGCAAAAGCCAGCCGTGTTACTCTGTGAGTTCTGGTCAACTCTGGTCCTCTTACTGGACGAAAAACCATGAATCCATACTCATTTAATCTTCTCCGAGCGGTACGTTCAGAAATTTGCACACCTCGAACTTCTTCAAGCTGATGAATCGCTTGAACAAGGGTAAGGTGCCGGTTTCGTAAAATTCTCAAAGTCAAAAACCGGTCATCCCGTGGTTCTGTTACCCCAGGCCGTCCAGAACCGGGCCTTCTATTGTAAGAACCAGTTTCCCGAAAACGCCTGACGGCGTCTCGTAAAGTTTCATATGGAACTCCGATGGTATTAGCTGCATATCTAATGGAACGTCCATCATCAATAAGTGCCACACCACGCTCAAAATCCTCAGCACTAAGAGGCATTTTTAAACTTAATATTGAAAAAATTAAAAGCTGGAGACTAAGAAATGTGCTACAAGAAACGGCACTGAACTAATTATACTGAATAAACATTTTGATTCCATAGAAAGTAAACATTGGAATCTAGAATAATTTCATTAAATTAAGGATTAAGGGTTATTGTCCTCTATATTAACATTCATAATTGAAAATAAACAAAAAGATTACCTATTTATTTTTTTTTTATTTTTTTTTTTAAATTTATTTATTACCAGATCGGCCTGGTAGGCCTTACATGGTTGTTGTAACAATTTGATGATTTTTAACAATATTGTTCTGGTGGGGTATAGTCTTTGCAAAAGACACCTCTAACTATTTATACATTATAATTATTGAATAATTACAATTAATAAAGAGAAAATTATTAATTGTTCATGACATGATGTCTTGGATCAGTCTGGGCTTCAGTCTTCGAGATGAGGTTGGGTTTCCTAAGTTGTAGGCCACTGCACCTTTAACTGCTAGTAGCTGCGTATGGAATTTTTTAAATCGTTTTTTGATGAATTCATCTATTGTTTCCACTTTTAGTTCTCGATGTAGTTGAGCGTTTCTTATGAACCAGGGGGCATCTACTGCAATTCTTAATACCTTGTTTTGAAAGGATTGTAGTTTTTTTCTTTTCGTAGCTGAAGCTGCTCTCCAGACTTCACATCCGTACATTAGCAAGGGTCTTAGTATGGTTTTATGAATAAGAACAGTTGTCTCTGGTTTTAAACTAGATTTTCTATTTACTATGGGATATAACATTGCTAACCTTGCGTATGTTTGGGTCAGTTTATTATTTATATGGTAATTCCACGTAAGGCGGCGGTACAAATAAACTCCGAGGTATTTTACTGCTTCACTAGCTGGGTTCCATTTTAGTTCTTTATTTTTGAGAATCAGTTCAGGTGGGTCTGAGGGACGTCTAAGAGTAAAAATTTTTGCTGTACATTTTTCGGTGTTGAGACAAATCATCCATTTTTTAAAATATTGTTCTAGATTTACTAGGTAAGACTGCAGTGTATTTCTGGCTATTAATATATCATTGTGTTGGGAAAAGACAGCTGTATCGTCGGCAAACATAGCTATGGAGGTGTTTGTGGATTGGATAATGTCGTGAGCATAAAAGTTAAAAAGTATGGGAGAAAGAACAGAACCTTGTGGGGTGTCGGCATGGATTTGTCTTAAGGTTGAATTTATATTATTTATTCTAACTGTAAATGTTCTGCCGTTGAGGAATGAGCTCAGAACGTCATATAAATATTTGGGCGTGTCCACTTTCTTTAGCTTGTACAATAGACCACAATGCCAAACCTTATCAAACGCTTGTTGAAAGTCTAAAAACGTGACAAGAGTATGTTTTTTCATTTCAAATCCATTTACTATGAATTCTGATAATCTTGCCAGTTGGTGTGAAGTGGAATGACTATACTGAAAACCAAATTGAAAATCAGGAATAATGCTATTACATTGTAAAAAGGATGCAAGATGTCTTTTTATGACTGACTCTAGTAATTTTCCAACTATGGGTAATAAACTTATCGGTCTATAGCTACTGACTTGTTTAGCATTTTTACCATGCTTATGAATTACTACGAGTTCAGCTTTCGTCCACGTTTCGGGAAAATATCCAGTGCGTAGACAGCTATTAAATATAGACGTAATGTAAACGAGAGCTTTTCTAGGAAAATTTTTTAACGCAATAACTGGTATAAGGTCATGTCCTGGACTTTTTTTTACTTTGAGACTCCTAATTAGTTCTTGAATTTCTTTAGGGGTTGTGAATTTAATCGGAAGCTGTACAGTTGTTAGGGGTAATTTTAAATAATCTTCAACATCAACATTTGGTGAATGCGGACTTCTGGGTTAGAGAACGTTTTCTCAAAGTAATCTGCAAATGCTTCAGCTTTTTCTGCGTCACTGATGATGTATCCACCATTCTCTTCCAGACTAGGAATTTTCTCAAATTTGCTTAGTACACACCGAGTAGCCTTCCACAGAGATTGGTCCTTTGGGTCTAAATCTTTTACGTAATTTTGGTATTTGGAATACACCCATTCATCCAGTTCTTTTTTAATTACGTGTTTGAGGTGGTTCCATGTCTTTTTGTAAGTAGGATCTCTGTTGCGCATCCACTGTCTCCTTGCATGGTTCTTTTCTTTAATTTTTGACAGAATTGATTTTGGGCAGCTCCTTGAAAAATTTTTCCTCACTAACTGGAAAGGTCGTACGGTTGCTTCCTGTACACTATTCGAGATAGACTCATTTAGTTTATTTATATTTTCTTCGATTTCAAGGGCAGTAGAAAAATTATTTTTCAGATTTATTTTCTCAGCTACTAAGATTTTGTATAATTCCCAGTCAATCGTTCCATTAATGAGTGCTTTTCGCTTCGGCACTACATTTAGCTCAGTTGAAAAATTAATTAATACAGGGATGTGGTCCGAATTTAAGGCTGTGATAACGTGAGATGAGAGAGGAAGCCTACAATTTTTGGTGAGTGCAATATCCAAAATATCGGGATTACAGCCTGGTCTATAAAAAGTAGGTTCATTTGGCGTATGGATTTGAATATTGTGCCTAGAACAAATTTCTAGCAAAATATTTCCGCTAGAATTTGATTTACGACAGCCCCAGTAGATGTTTTTACTGTTCATGTCACCTAGAACTAAAGAATGGTCTCCTGAAGGCAAGAGTTTTAAAATTTCATCTTGGAGTAGTTTTTTGTTTGGAGGTTTATAAACTGCCGTAATGACTGTAGAGGAAAATGAATGTAAACGGACTGATATGACTTCGATATTTAAAATATTATCAATAATGTTTTCAGTGAAGCTAATATTATTCTTAATTATTAAGGCTACACCGCCGGAAGCAGTCGAACATTCTCGATCCTTTCGTAAGATTTTGTAACCTGGGATTCTAAATGTGATGTTTTGAGATAGATGTGTCTCGGTTATGCAGGCTATGTCGATGAAATTTGATTCAAGAAAAATTTTAAATTCATTTCTTTGAGATGATATGCCATGTGCATTCCAGTTTAAAATTTTTAATTTTTTTAGTTCTGCAGTCATATATAAAAAATTAATATTTGGAAATAAATGAAATAATACGTGATCTGGAATAATGCGCAGTTAGTCTCGAACGAGTTAGTAACAGATAAGATAGTGTTTACTTTAGGGTCCATTAGTAAATAAAGAAGCTACGAGCGAAGATAGGTGTGTCATAATTTGTGGTAAATACGGTTTGATAGCATCGATAATAATTTTAGTTATTGTTGACAGTAAATTATTTCAATGTTTTGATTAACTGTGGCCTGAGGTTTTCGTTCCGATTGTTTTGTTATCGGTCTAATGGTGCCTGCGAATGGCTCTAGAGGTGAATTTACTCTATTTTTTATATTTTGATAATAGACGCAACCCTTGTAGGTAGCTGCATGGGCCAATTTACAGTTTACACAAAATGGCTTATCTGTGAATTTTAACGGGCATTTAGAGAAGTGGTGTTTTTCTTTGCATTTAACGCACCGGGGCTCTAAATGACAATAATTTTTTGTGTGGCCGTATCTCTGACAGTTGGTACACATGGGGATATCATTTTTCTTGTGTTTAGGTTCGACTGTAATTAAAGCAGAAAATAAATTGTTAAGATTGAAAATGTCATTAGCCGTTTCATTGTTTATAATAGACACTGAGCAGAGAGGAGTAGGTTTCTTATCTTTATTCAATATTCTGGAAACGTAAACAACTTCGAACTGTTTGGAATTTAACTCGGCCTTTAATTCATCTTCGGTTATGCTATAAGGGACCTTCCTTATGACAATGTTTAAATATTTATTTTTATCTGAGGAAAATGTGTGATATTCAATTTTTTCTTCATCGTAATATTTAGTCATAGTTCTGTAGTCTTCAATGGTTGATAGCATTATTTTTGTGTTGTTACCGGCCAGTTGCGTATTAAATGGTCCGATACATAATGCATTTAGGTCATTTAATAGAAGTCTGCGTAAAAATATCGGTGGTATTCTAATATCATTGGATTGAACATTTGGGTTATTTTTATAACTAGTACTTGCTGTAGTGTGCTTATCGGATGAAAGGTCAATTTCAGTAAGATGATTAAAGCTATTGCTTACTTTAATTGGAGCGATTTCCTGGTAGTACTTGTCCATTTTTTTAACTGGTGATCGGGATTGAGGTGAATCAATAGCTTCATGAACTCTCTTCTTAGAACAGGATTCGTCCGTAAGTTGGTCTACGTTCGTTTTAGTAGTGAGGGAAACACCGGGCGAATCACTTAATTCTTCGCCGGGTTTCATTAATTACATTTTAAAAAAAGAAGTCAAAATACATGAAAATAAAATGAATAAATGGAATATAAAAACAGTCAGAATAACTCCACAGTACAACCGCACTCTATGAAAGTCAGAGGCCAACTACCTATTTATTCATTAAAAACAATTGACCAATCTAAAGCAGAAATATTTTTAGATGAAAAAAATCAAGTGGGTGGCATTTTTTGCCTGTCAGTGTATATTTATATTTATATATATAGTGTATTTATTTAAAAATGACCTAGAGGCAAAAATTAATTATTTAATTATATAATAGGAAGCTTAATTTTCAAGAGGATTAAGAAAAATAAAATCTTAAACATCACAGGGGTCATCTAATGTAGCGGTAAGCAACCAGATAGGCCATAATCTAATACGGTCGTGTCATAAGCCTGTAAGCTAGGCTCACAGAAGGGTAGATAGGTAGAGGCTGGTAACTTCTTCATAGAAAAGCATTACATTTTAAGGAGATGGACGCTTTATGAGGCAATTTAAAAAGAAGTTGACTTAGGAAAATATGGCAGAAAGAGTAAATGAAGACCTCTAGAATGATGCTAGGCCACTAGTTGATGATATAAAGTTGCAGCGGTCAGCATAAAGTTGAAAAATATTAAGGCATTAGGCTTAGGATGGGATACAAAGGGAGCATCTTCGACAACAAACCAGAATGGTCTCAAATCGGGGATTTGGTTTTTAGGTTTTTCACCTCATACTCACTAAACGAGAAGAAAAATAACTACATCAACGAATGGACAAAATAAATTATATCTCGAATTCATAAGAAGGGGGATTGACTTCAGCATATCATCTAACTATAAAAAACCTGTACCACTACAACCCATGAAGGGTCTTGGGTGCAGCACTATGTGAGGAAGTACTGTTACAAGGCCAACGGTTGTGCATATCAACTACCGCGGTATAGTATTCTTTTAATGGGCATACAATGTACTCTCGAATATCGTCTACGAAAAACTTGTTTCTCATTCTGATAAAGAGTAAGATAAGTACCAGGTAAACCGAATATTAACAATAAGAATGATTTAAAAGAAGAATAAAGAACATAAGATTACTACTCCTTATTTCCTTGTGAAATTCCAATCTATTTATGACAGCGTAATACGACCAGAAATCTACAAGCCTGAGAACAGATGAATGTTCTTACAGAGCTCATATTGATTGTGAGGAGGGCCATGTCGGGTTCGAAATACTGTATTATGCGAAGGTGTAACTTGTGGAATCCCTACAACTCACAAACTTCAGCGTAAGGCAATGCCATAGAAATACTCTTAGATTTTGTGGGAGAGGGAGTGATTCTGCCATCCATCTCCAAGCTACCCTCGATGACGTCCTTTATGATCAATTAAAGTGGTTTGGCTATGTCTCCAGAATGAAAGACTATAGGGGCCCATTAAAGACCTTAGCCTAGGTTCTGATGACAGATTACCAAAACAAGTTACATCAGGAAGATATTGAACACTTCTTTAGAAACTAGGTCTAATACAAGAAATCTAGTGTCAGTGAAGACTTACTAGCTCACGCTAAAAGGTAATACAATTTTTTTGTACAAGAAGTAATATTTCTGTAAAAATTTAATATCCACTCATGCACTTACATTGATAACCCGCTTTCCAGCTAGTATTTCAAATTGCGGAGTTCCCAAATGTTTTCGCGCTATGTTCCCGAAGGCCCAGATTGTTTTATTTGCAGTTCTGAATTCTTCATTTACGATAATTTTTCGTGACCTGAAACATTGAATGAGTAGTTTACTATAACATTTTTATTTCATTATAATTTAGAAATGGTTAAAAAAATATAGGAAATCAAGAATGAGACCAATTAGCTTTATTTATTTATAGATTTTGTTTTTGGAACCTACATCTGAAACTTAGATTACAAAATCTGATGTATTAATATCTCAAGCAAAAAAATACATAATCCCATTTTGTTCACTTATGCCAAGATTACGTTGGATTATTGAGCTTTTCGTTCGTTTGCAGCGTAATATGATTCGCCTTTCCTAGGTTATCAGTTTTAATCGCCAAGGGTCGTTGTGAGATTTATGTTCTCCAATCATTTTTCTATTGTTACAGCGGGGCAATATCCTGATCCGATGTTTCTGCGATTAATCGTGGCCAATTTTGACCAAAATAGAAAACTACTTGTTCTCGAGGGAGTTCAGTAGGTATCAGCTGGGTCGTGAAGAGAAACCAAAGGCCCCAGGGATAATTTTCTTGTCTTTTGCACATTAGCCAAAAGTAACTGTCATAAAAAAACATCAGTTACATTTGAATCAATGTAGTTATTCTTCTATTATATAAATATCCATTAATAAATGGTTCAACAACTAAAAGATTTCTTTGATTCGCTGCCGCCTCTAGTAATCTTGGCCGGGGATTATAACGCTCACAGCTTAATGTGGGGTAGTGATCACTTGGATAAGAGAGGTAAATTAATAGAATCTTTTCTAAATAGGTGTAATTTGAATATTATAAATAACCATATTTATTTAACTCATTTCTGTGCCAGATCTGGAAAACTTTCAGCAATAGATTTGACAATTACAAGGTACGGCACATTGGTATGCACTAGATGAAATACACGGCAGCGATCACTTTTCCATCATTATTAACTCTCTCGATAAATGCTTCTCATCCAGAAGACATAACAAATGACTGATTAAAAAAGCTGATAGGGCCCTTTTTCAAGAGAGAGCTCAGCTTGTGGACATTGATTTGTCCGAAACTGACGCTGATCAAATAATTAACCAATTAAACAATAGATTGCTACAAGTGGCTCAGGTAGCGATATCATATAGTTCTACATTTGAGACCACAAATAATAGGTCCCGCGCCCCTGTATTCTGGAGGACTGATGAATGTGACAAGGCAATAAAAGACGGAAAAAAGCATTAGACAATTTTTTACGCCGGTCAATTTCTGAAAAGTTAGAAATATATACACCTGTCAGAAAACATGCGAGATATGTAATTAAAAGGAGCAAACAAATATCAATGGCAGAATTATCATAGTAAAGTTAACTGTAATACACCAATTGTTGTTTTCTGGCGAACGATTAGAAAAATAATGGCGTTTGGTCACTCTCCTCAAATAAATTGCATAAAATATTGAGACCAATATAAAAATGACCCCGTATATTTAGCGAACATTCTACGAAAACATTTCTATACTACCTCCTCATCCTTAAATTATTCAGTACACTTTCTTAATTTTATTTGTTATTATTAACAATCCATTAGAACCATTAAATATGTCCTTCTCCATGAGGTGATTTCTCACCGCTTTAAACTCCCGAAAGGATTCCTCACCCGGATCAAATCAGATCTACATCGGTATGATCAAAAACCTATGTTCTTCTAACAAATTATTGGTTTTGAAATTTTTAAATAAAATTTTCTTATCTGATATTTTTCCAAATATTTGGAAAAGTGCTATCACCGCTCCTATTCTGAAAAAGGATAAGGATCCTATGAATGTTAACAGTTATAGATCTATCAATTTAACCTCTGCTATCTGTAAATTCATGGAAAAAATAATTAGCAATAGACTGGTATGGTATTTAGAATCCAAAAGTGTACAGCCAGCATGTCAGAGTTAGTTTAAGCGAATAAGAAGCACTAGAGACAACCTAGTTTGTTTAGAAAATGATATTTTAAATGCTTTTGAAAACAAAAGAAAATTACTAGCTGATAACACCCTGGTTACGGTTGGGATTGATGGTCATATCCTTGCTGTTATAAATAATTTTCTTCCTAACAGAATTTTTATGGTCAGAATCGGTAATGTTTTTTTCCGAAAAAAAAAACGAACAAGAGAATGGAGTACCATAGGGTTGCGTTTAGAGCGTCACTCTTTTTTGTAAATGCATTAATGAGGTATTAAATTTAATTAAGTTACCGATTAAAGGGATGCTTTATGCTGATGGCCTTGTAATTTATACCGAGGAGAAACAGACAATGGCCTTACAATAGAACATACAAATCGCTTTGGACATCGTCAGTACCTGACTTGCTGATCACGGTTTCAAAATTCCAACAAGTAAGACAGTCGCGATTATTTTTAGCAAAATACAGTCTAATTCACTACTATTACTGGCTATATACAATCAATCAGTCACTTTATCCAACATTGTCCGGTACCTAGGAATGATCTTTGATAAAACACTTAGCTGGGTTCAACATACCAAACAATTAAACGCCAATTGCCTCCGTTACTTAAATGTTTTAAAAATTATCAGTAACACTAGTTGGGATGCAGATCGAAAAAGTATGTTAAAATTGTACAGAAAATTAGATCATAATTAGACTATGGTTGCAATGCATATAATTCGGTATCGATTACAGTTCTGAAAGTGCTCGACTGAACATAACTCCAGTCTCAGAATAGCAACTGGTTCTTTCTGTTCCTGCGCCACTAATAGCTTATACGTCGAAGATGGCGAGCCTCCGCTTGACATACGAAGACAAAAACTTCACCTAATTTACCCCGCTAAAATTCCTTTTTCCAATCATCAGAAATAGGGAAAAATTGAAAGTAATAAGGAGGATGGGTAATATACGCAATAATAAATATAATCCTACAGATCCCAAGGAGAGATTGAAAGAAAAAGGAAAAATAATTAAAAATACAATGGACATGAAATTAAAAATAAAGACTTACGGATGTGTGTAGGAAAGAGTTTAATTGAGAGATAGAGGGGGAAGGGGAGGGAAAATACACAGGAAATATAGATGACCTGGTAGAAGGATGACATTAAGAAGAAGAAGAAGACATTAAGAAGACATTAAAATACCTAAAATTCTAAGATATTGATGGATACAAAAAAATGGGATGCGTTCCAAAAGAGAAGTTTAGAATGGAACAGAAGATGGAATCTGGTACGGGAAAGGTCCATCTGGTCCAATCACTACAAAAAGCAGCCTCACACTGCATAAGCGATGAAGAGGAACTTGATTATGATAATAATAAAAAAAAAAACTGACCGTCTATTTACTCAATAATATACCACGGTCAGCCATCAGGTATTTAATTCACACTATTTTACAAAACAGTACGAATAATGTTGACAAACTCTTTCATTTCCTGAAATTTCCAAAATTTGAGAATAACATTTAATACTTGAAGAAATAAGGCAATGATGAACCTGGTCTAAAAAAATGTTAAAAAATAATCTGTTAACAGATCATATTTTATATGAATAAAGAAAACCCATGATATCCTCATAAAAACACATGATATAAACACATGATTCCTGATAAAAGTTAAAGGCTTTCATCTCTTCGATATTTAAACTGGAGTATACCCTAATTGTTTGAAAGATAACCTACATCAAAAATAGTATCTCTTAGTCTATTTACGATAAACCGCCGATATATATATATATATGTATGCATAAATTATATTTGTGAATATGAAAACCTTAATGTAATTTCTTTTGTTGAATCTCAATATCCAAAGAAAGTAAATATTATTAACAGTCGAGAAAATAATATAACCTAAACCAGGGGTTTACAACCTTTTTTCTGCAAGGGGCACAATTATAAGTTATTTCTTGAGTGGCGGCATCTTGTTTTTGTTCATTGTAAATTACAGGTAAGTTACTGTTTATAAATTTGAAAAGAAAATGTAAATGGTACCAATAATAATAATAAGGCTTAGCGAACCCGAAGGTTCGATGCCGACACCACCAATCGCTTGTTACACACCTCCCTCCACCGTTCGCCGTCCAAACCCAGTCGATTCAGATCGGCTTTAATGCAATCTTCCCACCTTCGCTTCGGTCTACCCCTCGGACGCTTACCATTTGGCACAGCAAATATTAACCTTTTAGGAATTCTCTCGTTACTAAGCCCAACAACTTTACAAGCCCATTTGATTCGCCGCGATGAAATTACATCAATTATATTACCCGGATACAGCTCACGCAATTCGGCGTTGTGTAACCAACCGTCTGAACTCTCCGGTTAACTCATCCTTCTTCGGTCCGAATATTCTACGCAATACTTTATTTTCAAAAACCTTAAGACGCTGCTCATCCCTTAATGTAAGCGGCCAAGTTTCGCATCCATAAAGAACTGTAGGCAAGATAATTGTTTTATGGATTCTAATTTTTAAGTTCCGGGACAAGAGGCGTGAACTAAGTAGCTTTGTCACAGAAAAATAACAAGCATTTCCCGCCTTCAGTCTAACCTTAATCTCTTCTTCAATTTCGTTTTTTATAGTTATCGTTGAACCTAGATACCTAAATTTATCTACCTGTTCAAACATATTACCATCTATATCGATGTCACCAGTAGTATCGCCATTTTTGCAGCTAACCATATATTTTGTTTTATCCACGTTTATTTCGAGTCCTAGTTCTTTACCGGCTTTCATTAACGTTGTCGTATTTAGTTTTATAGTTTCAACGTCTTCGCTTAACAGTACCAGATCATCAGCATAGCCCAGCACGGATGTTGTCCCGCCCAGATCCAACCCTTTCTCGGTTCGCATTACCTCCCTAATGGCATGTTGTAATGCCAAATTGAACAGGACAGGCGAAAGAAAATCCCCCTGTTTTAAGCCCGAACGAACCTCAAATTTTTCGGACTAATTATTACCGATTCTAACTTTATTGAGTGTCTCCGTCAAGCACATCCTGATTAGATTTACTAGTTTCTTTGGAATCCCCTGCTCAATTAAAATATTATACAGTTTCTGGCGGTCAATAGAATCGTAAGCCTTTT